TATATATATGTATATATACATATATATACATATGTAATGTAATATAAATATTGTACGATACTTCGAGAGAATGCACAAATAAACCTCGCCTTCGAATTACGGTGATGTATATTACGCGGTAAATTACACATGTGTGTACGTGTGTGTGTGTGTGTGTGTTCGTTTCGTATAACTTTTTTTTCTTTAGATTTAACAGCGCGATTGCTTTAGAGTCCATCTTGCATTTACAGACTGTGTCCCTTTGAAGCCTCAAGACATTTAGCAAACGATATATAGAAAAAAATACAGTCACGTTACTATAATTCTATAGTTGTGTAATAGTCAAGTATATATTGAGTGCAAGAAGAAAGCAACAGCGCGACAATTTTTTTTGTTTTTCGTCTTCTTCTGGCAACTCAACTTTTTCCTACTTGCAAAGCAGCTTGATTGCCCCTATCTAAATCGAGTAAAATCGAATCTAATTTCTTCGTTGCACATTCAATGAATCATCTCACTCGTATTTTTTTTTTGTTTTTGTTTTTTTGTTTTTTTTTTTTTTTGGATTAATATGATGTGACTTAAACTTAGAAATTTTACTTTATATACGTTTGTTCGCGCGTAAATATATGTAAAGTAATAGAAATCCCGCTGACAGTCCAACGAAAAATCTTTGCGCGCGCAATTACAGAGAAATTATATATAATACAACCTTCGACGCATCTCAATATGTACGACATTTAATCTTAATGGAAGGCAGTTTCGACTGTTAGCGGAATTTCCAAAAATATTGTACAAAATATATTTAAACAGTATATCAACATTGGAAGGTAAAGATGTCATTAAAAGCTTATCCGTAAACGTATATGCGTCTAATAATAGCTGCCTGAACAAAAAAAAGTAAACGTGATAGAAATTAAAAAAGAAACAAAAAATAAGAGAAAAGAAAATACAGATGAGATTATACAAGTCGATTACGTGTGCTCGTTTGTTTTTCGCTACGTAAATATAATATTCTCTAAAATTATAAACAAAACAATCATGCATGTGCATATGTGCTTATATACGCGTATACAAAACCTAACGAGACATCACAATGATACGAGCAACTTATTAGAGACTTATCACTTATTCGATACGATGCACTGTACACTTTTGTAATTATTGATAGTAAAAAATGATAGATTTATACGTGTATGGATAAATTCATGAGAAATTATGTGTACAATTTAAAAATTATTTACAGCGTTAATAGATCTCTGCTTATTTCTATAGACGAAATAAATCGACATTAGCTAGAGTGGACCAAAAGATGTAAAAAGACTCACACTCGCAATCACATTCGCGCACTGGTTTGAAAACCGAATGTACTTACGGTATATTTAAATATAGTACTAAAATACGTGGTACTATATATTGCTCATCCTCTCTTTCCTTCTTTCCTTCTCTCTCTCTCTCTCTCTCTCTCTCTCTCTCTCTCTCTCTCTCTCTCTCTCTTTCTTACGTAGGTTTAACGTATCATATGTGCGTAGCTAAATCCTTCTTCCCAAAAGATTCTACGAACAATATTACACGCCGCAAATAAATGATATATAAATAAAAAATAACATTTATGTACAATTTCATTTTTATACTGCATATTTTCTCATTAATCGATTATATCACATTATTAGTTTTTTTTTATTTTTTTAATGAAGAATTTTGTTCCTTTCTCCCATACAACGCAAGCTGTGTATCGCGAATATTTAAATAAGTGCAATGCGTCAAGGGGACAAAAACGTCTACGCAGACTTCGGCTCTTCTCCATCTCTCTAGCCTGGTTGATCAAAAAGTTTCACTCTCGAAGAATTCAAACTATTGATACTAACGTTTATATACGTATATGGCAGCTTTGTAACCACTACTTTTTTATGATTTTTCGCGTATTTATCCTGGCAATTAATTTGTCCGGATCTTTATTATTACCCGTGTTTTGTACTAGGACAATGTCAATTGTTAAACTAAATGTTTAGGCCCTTTTTGTGTGTGTTGCTGTTTGTTTTTTTTTGTTTTTTGGTTATATCGTTAAACATTACAAATATCTCGATATCATGCAACGTCAAGGATGAATATTGAAAATCGGCGATTTTCTGACTATAAGTAATATTTTTTTCAAAATAATAACAAACTAAAAACGGTCAGATAGGCAGATTCACTCATTTGATTCACTCCTTAAGACGAGAGACATGCAGACTATATTCCTCTATCGTTACGTTATGGCAACATGTGTTTCAGTGTCACATTTAATACAATAAAGATAAAAAATACAAAGATTCTCTCTTTCTCATCGTCTTTTAAGACAATAAAACTGATCTTTTGATTCCATGGAATGTATGATAAAAAAAAAAAAAAAAAAAAATTTTGAAAGGTCAAATTGCACTAACTTCTTTTAATTAAAAACAATTGTCTAAATTGTAACATAGAGCGAATTTGGATTTAAGTTTCGTTTACATTTACTATCGTGTGATTTGAAGCCGAAAGCTCGGATATATCTACAACAAGTTGCCAACAAAAAAAAAAGTGTTCTCCTATTCATCATATACAATAGTATATGCAACAGTTGCGCTCAGTCGTGTACCACACGGGGTTCCCGATACGCGCGGTATCAGAACGGATCCCGAACGTGAGACCACGCATGGCCCTACATTAGTCAGTGTAATTGGTGTTCATCCTTGTGTAATCAACAGCACTCTGTTGACGCTTTGAAAATTCGCTTACCTACATAAAGCTAGAGAAAAATGGACGTTCACATATACATCTAAATAAATTAAAACGAAATCAGAAGAAAATACGCACACATACTACTTTATACAATTCGCTAGCAAAGGCAAATAAATAAGTCGATCTTAATTCCCTTGCACTCCGTTGGCTCCGCTACGGGGACACCTCACTCATATATGCACCACAAATACGCTCGGAGTGCAAAGATTTGAAATGTTTACCTAGAAACAGCTGAAGAAGATCGGGGGTTTTCTTCATCATCAATATTATACGACAAACATTGTTATACACGCGGTTGTAAGTATGATATTTGCCTATCTTCTCAACAAAGCACAATACGAATATAATCGTCGATTCGCACAGTGAACAAAACAAAACGGACTACCAAAAATGCATACGGACAGATTAAGTAGTTCTTTGTCCACTGCGTCTCTCAAAGTGGTTTTTTCTCCGACAGATTCGAGTTTCGCATTTCGATCTTTGTTGTAATTGATGCTTAATATGTAAATGAGATTACTTGGTAAGATAAACAGAGCGCGTATACGTCGGGTTTCTGTTTTACAACTACTTTGAGATACCGGAGGTTCATGCGTCTGCGTGAACTTAAAAATGTTTTCATGAAGATTTAATAATCTGATTAAGACAACCTCACAGAGGCTGTTGAAACGGGATAGACTCACTCTAACCCTTTCACCGCTCTTAGAGCGTTGTAGAGAAGAAAATTTCTTTTGTTCTTAAAATTTCTTTTTCCGCAAAGAAAGAGTATATATACCTACATAAATATAAATTCCTTCTGATTCACTGTTTCATCAGCCTTTCGATTTCGCGACGCAGGCAGTGAAAGGGTTAGGTATATTCTAGTTTTGCGGCTGCGCTTTCTTGCCACCACGTGGTTTGATGCTCTCGGATATCTGCCACATCGCCTCCTCACAGAGGAAATCGCTGAAGTTGTTGAAAAACGTTATGATGCGCTCGTGCTTCTTGAAAGAGTACGTGCTGCAACACACATGTGAAAATAAATCAACAAATCACAACAATTCGAATGTTAAAATATATATATATATATCGCAAGTAGGCGCTTACCCCTTCTTAAATCTCTTCATATTTTCAACAATATTAAATTGTTGCCATCTCTTGGAGAAATTTATAGTGCCATCTGGTAACAAATCGCTATTTCCAATATGCACAAATGTAAGATCTTGCAAAACAAGTCCACTGAAACAAACAAAAGACACGTGCACGTTTCCAAAATAGCTGAACAAATGATTTTTTTTTGTAAACAAAGTATTTCTTACATATAAGGAATACACGGCGGTTGTGTTTCCGCTAGAGCTTGCCTATAAGCTCGGAAGCTGCTAGAACTATCGATGAGAGCGCAATACTCCTTGAGACCCTCGGTAATGTGCTTCTGCCACTCGAGTCTCCTAATGGGTGCACTGTCCAGCGCGGACAGTAACGCTAGATAGCTGTTGAAATTATTAATCTTTCTAAGATGCTTCATTATCTTGATGAACTTCACGACATATTTCTCTCTGTCCTTCGCCTCGTTTTCTAATCGATGTTCCAAGATTCTCGATCGCGCCCAATACGACATCTTGTTAAAGTGTTCGGTAAATCGCGTGAGATTCGGGCTTCTCTCTTCGTTCTGCTCCTGCGCCCAGATCAGCACTTCCGGGATTTCGATTTTCATGAACAAATCGGCGTCGAGCAACGTCATTTGTTCCGCGATCTGTTCGCTCTTGAAATCCAAGAGAGAAGCTTGTTTCGTTGTTACACTCAGAGACGAGAGGATCGGTTGTGTCGCCTGTAACTGTTTGATAGTGTGCTTCTCTAATATTTTAACTCGCAACGCTTTGGCCATTGTGAGATCGCCGCTGCACACCAGTTGTTGCACAAACTCCATCAGAGTTTGCAACAGAATGTCATCAAGATCAGATATTCTGTAAAATAAATTTGTCGCACGTTGCACGAAAGCGAGTTTTGAATATTATTATTTACGCGCGCGTGTAAACAAAAAATTCAAAACTTACGTTAAATCACTAACGACCCTAACTAATAAAGAGAACGCTTCGCGCGCGGCTCTTTGCTTAACGACATCTGGAGAACATGAAAAACGTTGATGACGTCTATGAAGTTTACGAATTAATTCTAACGGTTGCATGAAGGTTCTATATGTTGTTAGAAACGCTTCTTGATATAGGAAATCTGCAAAGAAAATTACATTATTCAGAAAGATTATTTATTTTAAAGTAATATTTTATTGCGACGTTTATGTTAGCTCATACAAGCAATTACCTTCTTTTTCATCTACGCAGCATAAAAATATATAATTTAATAAGTAATGTGAGATAAATACATATATGAGAATTGTTGTACTTTTTCTCATATTAAAATAAATTTATTAATTCAATATAATTGCAATAAGAGAATTAGAATATATACCGTGTTTATTTGCTTTCGTGGCGTGGATTAATAATGCATCTGGATGTCCACCGCGTATATCTGGACCTTCTTCGTCTGGTTTTTTCAGAACCAGATATTTGCTAATGTCTAATTCATCTAAAATGCTATCGTCTTGATCGATATCTCTTAGTTCAAGAGTGTTCTCATCGACTGATATGGAAGAGAGCGCGTTGCTAGCAGGTCTAGACGATGGTAGTACTGAATCCATGATAACATTATTATTCTGAAATAAAAATCAACACATATCGTTGGACACGCATTTGAATGCCAGACGTGTTCCACATACGTGACGCGATAGCAAAGTTATTACATTAACGTTTACCAATTTCACTGGCGTGGAAGGTGTAACGTCTTTCTTTTCGGACGTGAATACCGGCTCTTCCGCTTTCAGAGGCGTCGACGTCACAATGGGTTCCGAATTATGAATATTCTGCATACTGATCGTGGGTTTTGGTGATATTGGCGGAGGTGTGGATTGTGCTTTAATGGAACGAGATCTCTTTGGTGGTAACGCCGGGGGCAGACTAGAATTATTTGTTGTGTCCACTAAAGTCAACGGTGTAGTTCCAGAAAGGCTAAGAGAAATAATTTGTCTCATAAGTTTGACTCCAACGTTGTATTAGCTAAGTGTGTGCGATTAAAAAAAAAAAACAAAATAACAAATGAAAATCTTTCCGCTAAAATGTACTTTGAGCTGTCATGTAGAGCGGTCACGGTGTGCGTCATGAAGGAACATGATTGGGTTGTGGTGAGAGACATCTCGTGCTGCTGCCATTCTGTCTGCATCGAATTGTAGGCTGCCATAGAATGACGAGTGCCGAGACCGGAGATGAAATCGTTCTCGTTACTGTGCGAACAGTTTCCGAACATCTCCATGTACGCCATGACTGAAATACATACAAACGCACAGATAAATATGGAATATTTTTTTTTTGTTCGCAAAAATAGCATCAACAAATATGTGAAAATGTGTTATTTAAATAAAAAAATATTCGGAATAAAAAATTCTCAATGGTCGTATAATACAGTCGATGAACGTAAGCGTGATGTGTGTTGCGATAATGAAATATTAAAACACAAGTAGTATGTGGGATTGTACGTCGATGCAGAAGCAAAATATGTCGTTGTGTGTAATTGTTATTTTTTTTTTTTTTTTCGAAAAACCGTGTAAACATGAAAAAGCCGAACTCACTGGAGTAAGAATGAAACCGTTTGAACAGCATCGTTCGTATTGCTGCGGTTACTGTCGCTTCGACAACTGAACTATTGCAACAATGGGAGCACCAAGTGCTGTAGTAATTGCAGAGTTCATTAAAAGTGTCACGTAAGTTAAGAAGGTTTCGCGTTAACGAAATTCTTTTGCTTCACAGTCTGTCTGTCTTGACATGAGAATAGGAACTAAGGCTTCAACTTTATCCAACAAGATCGTAACTCTTAATCGACTATTAGTGGAAAAGGTCAAATTAATTAGAAAAAGCCTACAACGCTCACGTAAGTTTGCAAGAGAACCGCATTTTATGCATTTATGTTAATAAATTCTATGAAACCCGCAGTATTTTCAATGCAAAAAACATAAATCAATAAATGGACGTGTTACATAGATCTTTAAAATATGATAAAACCCTGCAAGGTTGTATGTTGATATGAAAGGAAATAGCAATTTAATATTACAATCAACATCTGCAAAATTTACGCGACGTATTCTCAATGCGAATCAAAACTAAAGCCGCAACTATGCTACATTTTTATTAATAAAAAATTCAAGCTCACAGCGTCGTGAATAAATAACAAAAAAATCACATATATATTCTAAACATGTATTCTATAGATAAAACAAAAATGAAATGACAATAAACATGCCGCAAAAAGCCTGGAAATTGAAATCTGAGACAAATGTATGAGAAAACGTAGAGAGAACATCAACTTAGCGTGAAAGTGTTTGCTGAGGGGGGACAATAGTTGAATTGTGTGGGCAGCATCCCACTTACCAGAATACGCCACTGATTGGAACACTGGGGGATACAAAACATTGCGTCAGTTTTAACCTACTACGAAAAAATTAACTTGGAATGTCTACTATACACTAAGTAATTTCATTTAATATCTATGTGCGCACGATGTAGTGAACTTTTTACAGACTATAAATTATATCAAATCTATAAAAAAAAGAAAAAAAAGAAAAAAAGAGAACATCACGATCAAGAGTGCCAGTTTCCCGAAAAACTCTTTGTTGCGACATTATTCTGCTGGCAGTCTTAACACAATGTCGACGCATTATTATCATAATTGTTGGAGACTACTTACTATGTCGCTTCTTCAGAGGCAGAGGAGGTGGTTTATTGGCGTCTACGCTGTCGCCGTTGCTGTTGTGCAAAGCGCACGTAGACAAATGCTCGTTTTCTGGCACATTGTCGTACTGCGACGGCTGTCGTTCCTTTCTTCGCTTGGACCGTTTTTCCGGCAATGCTGGAGGCGCTCCGTTAGTATCGGACGTGGACACCGATTCGATTTCCTGCGAATATCACGAACGCACATACGTGTGATTTTAAGTTGCATTAGAGAAGAATTGTGTGGAATAAAAAATAAGACGCACAATTGACGAAAGAGAAAAATAAAAATTACACAACACCCACATTTACCAGTTTCTCTAATGCGGCCGGGTCCCCATTTCCGGACGTGTTACTCGTGCTAATAGTACTTTTGGAACTAGTCAACGTCTTCTGTGTAAAAATAGAGCCATTACTGTCCGAGGATAATTTGGTATGCGAAAACGACTGTTGCTGCGAGCTAAACGATTGGGAATTGTAACTGACGCTGCTCTGCTGAGACGATCTCTTGGACGTCATGCTGGAGGCGGTGGTGTAACTTTGCGATGAACTTCGTTGAGAATGCATAGAAACAAAACCCGATTCCTGCGTCTGAGTGGACAGTCGTTCCATTTTTCCTTCCAAACCTGGAACGAGACGCGACATACAAACGTGTTCGAAGCGACTGGAGGTAAAGGCAAGAGAAAGACTGATTAAAAATAGCAAAGATTGTCGACGTGTTTTTCTTACGAAAAAACATTTTGACGTTTTTCCAACTGACGCTAGACTTTTGTGACATTTTACATCGAAAATATCTCTCCAAGTGGCAAGAGAAAGGAATATTATTTCGCGATGTCTCTTCTCAGTGAAGATCCGCAAGATACTGTTTATTCATCGCGGCCGGAAGGTTGACGCTACCCACGCAATCTGTTCCACTAACTATTTCAAGAAATCTTGCGTAATTTTAGCACGGCTGGTTTTTCTTTCTTTTTTCTAACGCAAGTTGGCAAGCGCGTTTTCAAATATTTCATTCAATAAACAAACAAAAACATACAATCAAGCAAATCGATCGATAAACAAATTTATTCGCAAACGCTCGCATTAAATTTTCTCAATCTTCGACCTACTTAAATGATTCGGCAAAATTACACACCAGTGAATGGACTAAGCATTTCTTGAGATGTTTGCTGGCCTAGCAACATAGTACTCGGTATACTAGTTTCAGAACCGTCCCAGCAATTACAGTTCGAAGTACCATTAACTTGCATCCCTACAATGATACAAAAATACACACGTTAAGAGAATTAAAAAAACTAACAATCTATATTTAAAATTGCTAATTAAAGATATATAATATTAAAGCGAATATTTTATATAAATACGTACAACATTAAAGTATTAATAACAGAACTCTTTTATATAAAAATAACATGTCGATCATTACCCACATACGTGTGTATATATATATTAAAAAAATATCATATTACTATATATAAATTTCTCAGAGAGAGTTATTCCGCACAACCCCTAAAATATCTTCTTATATATATAAGGCACAGTTTTTTTTACACTTGACTTATCGACGATGCCGTATAAAGCGTCAAGATAGATCTTGAGTCCGTAATAATATAATCGCGAACTTTGTTTAGTTTAATAATAACGCACGTCGCTTAATCGGGAATGGAAACACGTTTATGTAGTTCGAACGAACGTTCCACTCGTAGAATTGACGTGAAGACCGACACAAGCGGAATACCAAAACCAACGTGCTGAGTAAGCGTCGAAACACTCATCCGACACATATGGAAATGTATTTGCAACAATTCTCTTAACAGATTTCCATCCGATATGTTACGTCGTGCCGTAACCGCAATTTTCAGAGAATGTTTATATTATTCTTTTCTTTTTTTTTATTAAAAAAAACGGAAATTTATATTGAAACTCGCACAGAAAGTTTATTAAATTTATATTAAAGTTTGCACGTTAGAATCTAAAAAAAATATTGTATTTTTTTTCGCGAAGACATAGAAATAATTAAAATAACACAAAATGAAGAGTGATTCGTTTAATCCAAATGTTTGTGCCACAGAATTAAACATTTATAGAAATAATATTACCTTGAATAGTAGCCATGAGACTTAGGTCCATACTATCATTCAAAGATTCATCATTTGGTCCCATTATAGCTCGAATCTCGTCCTCGTCACGGGAATGATTCAGAGCCGAATCCAGACTGCCGGCGGACGCGCTCAGGAGAGACGACGAATCCTCTGGGGATCGACTTCGCAGAGATACTCTATCAAGACTAGATGCCAGTAGACCCTCCGATTCGTCGAGAAGCTGTTGAGTCCTCGTTCTTCTCTTCGGCGGCAACGGGGGTGGCGTGCCGGACGAACTGTTTTCCTCCGACAAACACACATTCGTTCTGGAAGAGATCGCGTGCACGTCTATACGTTCAACTTCCAGTGACAAAGCAATTTATCACCCCGCGCGCAAGCGAAACGAGCGAAACGTTACCTGTCAGGCAGCGGGGGTTTCGGGGGTGGACTAGAATCCCGTAAAATCGACTCGGAACTGTGCGAGCTGCGAACCAAACTGCTGCTCGCCGCTGTTTGCTCCAAGATCTGCCGTTCTCTCGGCGTTAAGGGTATATCCGGCAGAGAGTTTCTTTGCGTCAATTCCGAACCGTACCCAGAAGTTCTGTAATTTGTTGTATTACGAAGAGATTTTTCGCGCACTAGCTGTTTTAAGTCAATATTGTTTTTTGCGTGTTTATATTTAAATGACAAATTCAATCCGGTAAATGTTTAAAAAAAAAGCAATTATCACTGCGCTTCTATTTCCACAACATTAATGTACATTCTACGTCAATCGTCAAAATCCTTTATATATATCAAGTATTGTTAATTAATATTCAATGTGTAACGCCGTATTTCTCTATTACGTAATTTATGTGAAATATTAATTAATTATTGGTTTCATATGTACGCGTATAAATTTGTGTATTTGTATATCTCTGTGACTCAATTTATTAAACGTCGCGAACTACTACCTATTGCTACTTGCAGCAGACGCGGGTTTCTGTTTGTTGGCGATTTTCTCGTTCGCCAGAGCCACTAGATTTTTCACAGCTTCCTCGACGAGCCCAATGACGTGCGTTACGTTTTCGGTGTCCAGTGCGGAAGATTGATCGCCGTGCAGCAATACATCGTCGCAGAGTTTCAGCAATTGCGCCAACGCCTGGTACACCTGATTCGTGGCGGATCCTAACGTGGAGCTGCAACGTCACGCTGTTCATTATCGAAAGAGTAGAGAAAAACACACGTCGATTCTTTACATTAGTTTTATTGTGTTTTCACGTTTTTTTTTTATCCGACAATATATTTCTGTAACATAAAACAATTTAAGAGACAATCGAAGCTAAATTGTTTCAATCACCTGTTCTCGTAGAGCAAGTAGGACTTCAACGCGTTGTGTATCGTGGTAACGGTATCGAGGACGATCGTTCCGTTCCCGGGCAGCATCTCGAGCTTCTTCTTTGACACGACATCCCGGAAGTGGAGCAGTGCCAGCTGCACCTGTCGCACGTGGATGTGTAGATCGCGCAAGGGATTCTTGTCGAGCGCGGCCGTGTCGTTGCAGCCCGAGGCGTTTTTGTCGCGCGGCGTGCGCGGTGACGAGGGTGATGCGGCCCTTGTCCCGGTCCCGCTGCCGCTGCTTCCGCCGCCACCTCCNACCTCCGCCGCCACCACCACCGCCGCCGCCGCCACCGCTGCCGCTACCGGGAGAACGCATGTGGGAGAGCTTTTCCAGGAAGTCCTCCTTGAAGGAGCGCGCGCGACGCGCTAGTTTACCGCCGCGCGCCTTCCCGCTGGAACGCTCCTCGACTTCTGCAACAAAAAACGTTTTATCATCCAACTTACAAACACACACACACACACACACGTGTATTCAGTTTTATTTATAGTCTCTCGCGTATTTAATTGCGTCATTTATTTCGTTTATTTTATTTTCTTTTAACTGCACTCGTAGAAAAAAAAACGACCGCGATCGAGTAGAGTTTTTATCGTATTTCCGGACACAGTGAAATTGCGAATGTGAAAAACTTTTTGCCTTTTTCACGCTACGCAATGTGCGGACAATATTTTTCTGGGTGTATGAAGGATACGTGCATCGAACTCTGCCGCGCGCCTGGCATTTATACCGTCAGACCGGCGCACGTGCTCGCGACGAGCGGCCGGTTGCATATCGCCAGGCGTTTCCCACCCATTTCCGCTAATGTCAGCCGCGCACTTGAATTAAAACGAAAACGGCAGCAATCGGAGGCACCGGTGCGCCGGACGTGTAATGTGTCTGCGGCGTTATAGCCAAGTCCTAAGTACCTGGGAAACGTTTTTCTCTCCGGACCTTCTTCTAGCAAGAAGAACGGAAAGTGCCGGTCTGACTCTTTTTTTTTTTTTTTTTGCCTTCCGACCGCGTCGAGAATCGACAATGCTCCCCCTTATGCTCGACGATCGACCTAGCGCGGAGAAGTTTTTGATCTCTTCTTTTTTCGAGAGATTGGTTTAATTTCGGCCGCGAAATAATCGACGCGTCGTTCGTATTGTAAAAATCGAATAAAACGAGAGAATGGCATTTTTGTATTTTACAAAAATAATTCAAATATTTGTAAAAAATTTTACTTGCAGTAAGTTGGCGCAGAAATAAATTCTTGACAACCTATCGGCGTATTGAGCGTCGATCGATCGTTCGCGGTAAATAATTTATTACGGCAATATTTTTCTCCGCTATCATCGTACCCGATGCATCGCGATACACACACACACACACGCGCACGCACGCACGCACGCCTCCCGGCCATTTCGGCTGGCGCCAAAAGTAATGGAAGCGATAAACATCGTCAGAATGAACTCCGTGAATTTATTACGCTGCATAAATTTCATCTCCAAACTTCACGTGTGTTCGGTGAGGAATGTTGCTTTTGCGGATCGCGCTCGGAGGGCGATTCAAAAGCACCAAGGTGGAAGAGTTGTTGTAAAAACCAGCGCGGAGTTTGAAAATAGATTTCAACGACCGTGAAATATATCGTAACTACGTGTTACACTTTGAACCGGACGGATCATGCCGGTAAAATACACCGCCGTAAAAATTACATCGTTTCGTAACGTACATACGTATTTCGCGAACATTTCCGCACGTCAAGAGAAGTTTTCGTACGGGAAAACTCTCTCGAAAGCTTCTCATCGTTGCTCGAAACATTCCAACTCGAAAAGGTAACGTTTTCACTCCCGGAAATGTATTTCGAAATTTTCGCAGGTGGAAAATCTCATTTATCTCCTCGTTGATCAAGAGAGTTGTCTTGTGAGGTGCAGCGGTACATGTACAGAGAGAGAGAGAGAGAGAGAGAGAGAGAGAGAGAGAGAGAGAGAGAGAGAGAGAGAGAGAGAGAATTTTAATACGTTACCGAGCACTGCAACGTGCGCGAGCGCCCGTCTGCGGAGATCAACGCGCAGGTGAATCAAATCCTCTATTCACGATTCCGGTCTGAAATCTCAATCAGACGTGATTTGCGCCAAAGGCACAAGGTTTGACAGACCGATGGAGATAATGGAGATGAGAACACACAGAGAGACAAGAGGAAGAGACGAGAGAAGGGCGACGCGGGAAAGGGGGATAAAGCACGCGGCAGACAGGAGAGATGCAAATTGCCGTGATTGACTGTATTCACGAACCACGTTCGACTCCCACACAAAGTTATTCGTGGGAATGCGCGTGGTTACATACATATATATGTACATATATATATATATATGAGAACGCGATACAATGGGCGGCGGTGGTTATTTACAAACCGCGATGCTCGGAATTATTTTGATCGTGCGGATTCTCTTTGACCGCGAAGCGCCTATACACACGTCCGATTATGTAAAATTGTTCGGCAAGAGACAAACAGCATCATTCCCCACCCACGTCGTTCTGTTGTGGCGTGAAAAAGCCGGTAAAACACAAATGATTCGAAATATTTTCGCGTTAAAAGTTCGCGTCCGTCAGATTAAATGTTGCGAAAAATATCACATGTGTCGAAATACTTTATTTTAAAACGCACGATAAGCGCGCTTTTGACATTAGCGTCGAGATGTAAAATAAATAAATGAAAATTTGTGTAATATTGTGGGTATATACGTATTATTAAAATTTACAAATTTAATAATTTGATCTGCCAAATTGATTCTCTCTCTATTATGCACTTCTGCAATAAAATATAATTAACAGCAGTTTAATATATTGTTCAATGTGTTATACGAAGAGCAATCATGGTTTATTTGACAATGCATTTGACGCAAAATATTCTATTGACCCGCGATATTGACGGGATCTCTCCCTCTCTCTTTCTCGTGCTACGTGCAAATAGAGAGATCGGGGAGCGAAACATGATTAAGTGCGCGTTTAGATGCGTGCGTTCCGTCCGAAAGTTTATGACGCGCGGTAAAATGATCACATAAATTTATCTCTCGCCAACGCGAGCGAGCATTTCGTATTAATGCGCGTTATTTATTTACGTACCACTAATAACACGCGTAATATTTAATGTTTGTTTAATTGCAATATTGTGTGTAACAACGTTGTTTGCAGTTCGCACGTACGCGTTTCGTAAAAACACAAACATCTTGCATCCCGACATGTTTTCCAAAATCATGGGAAAAATGAAGGATATTAAAAAAAAAAAAAAACTTTGTTCCAATGTCAAACGACTTTACAACAATTTAATCGCTTTAGAACGCTGCTAATGGCGAATCAACAATACTCCAGTAACATCCCTTTCTTTGTCGCGTGACAAGAGATAATAACCCTTAACGCCGCGTAATAGACAAGTGCTCGCCACCCGTGTCTTTCGGGCTCTTCAAACCCACCCTTTATCGATCAACTCTCTCGCGTGCTCGTCGCTATATATGCGCGGGGGTGTAAATCCACTGAAACGCGCTTAAAGCGAACCGCCCGCACGCGGGAAAATGCGGGGAAAGTCCATCCCCCGCGCTCTTCCCTTTTCCCCGATCGGGCGCGATTAGAATTGCGAACAGGTGCATTCTGTCTCGGGGGGTGGGATGGATCTGTACAGGTGGCGAGTGTGCGGCCACCACCGCGGACTTTGCGGTGATGCACGAGGGATTCTCCCCTGTAACACACATACACACACGCGCGCGCGCGAATCTCTCACGCATGCGATGCCACAGACACACAATGCATGCGCGCGGGATTGCGAAATAGCGACGACGAGGAGCTCTCGCGGTGATGAATGGTCGCAAGCGACACGATTAAAGGGACATACGCGGAAAGTTATCGCGAACGACGGCGAACTCTCCCATTCTCGGGTCCGCTGCGTCGCCGCGATAACGGCCGCTCGTAGACACCGTAATATCGTCCCGCGTATACGATATTCGCGCCACGTGCGCTACGCGGATATACACGGCGGCTCGTTAATGAAAACCTGGCCCCGATAGCGCGTCGTTAATTACACTGGCCCGACGCTCAAGAGTGCAGCGCCCGTCCACCTCCCTCTCTCTCTTTCTCGCTCACCGTTGATAATCTCCCTCGGTGGCTCGAGTTCATTTTTTACGAGTAATGAATATTTAATTCGATTGTGCGATCCATTCTCCTCGTGAAACGCCAACCGGGTTGCGTGTCCCGAGGGAACGTGGCACGCGATGAAAAAGCGAGAAAGAGAGAGAGAGAGAGAGAAAGATGTGATCGAATTATCGTCGAGATTAGATGCACCGTTTCTGATAAATTGTGATTAATGCACACACCGAATGTATCACTCCTCCTGGGAGAGATTATTACCAGGACCAAGAGAGAGTTTCCGAAACATATCCGTTACACGTCGCGTGTAACTCTCTCGGCCGCGAATCCTTTTAATTTATCACGCCGGTAAATATCGTTACGACTTCGACTAATCTCGCGGATTAATCTACATTATATACACGCACACACACACACGCCTGTGAATCCCGAATTAAAGTCGGAAATCCCAGGATTCCGTGTAATTCCGAAGGTTCGTTTGCTCAAAAACGTATGTTTGGCGTTTAAATTCGTCGTTTTTCGGTTGCGGTTTACGTGACCGAGATGGACAAAGGCTCGACTTTAATCGCGGGTGTAATTGCTATCGAGACGAAGTTCTCTCAAGCGAATCAAGATACACCGCTTGTAAACGAGCGAATCGAACAAATTTGCGTAACACGTCACGTAGTGTATCTACACGGCGAAGCTGTTAGTGTCGCGCGAGAGAGGAAGCGAGAAGGGAGAGTCATCAGGATTCGAATTAATTAACAATCACGAGAGGTAATAATGTTCGCGCAAAACGTTTGATAGCGTCGAGACGTGCTATTTCGTGCGTTTATACGTACGATCGGATTCGGATTTGCACGAACGGCATCGCCGGCGTGACCGGTAAACAACGGAGACTCGGTATAATTGTTTTATGGAAATCTCGCTGCAGATTTGCATATCGACTGTTGCTCTCGCGTTCCTTCTTCGTTTGTTCCGCGACGATTTCGCGTTCCGAGAGATAGAAACTTCCACGCAACTGCTCAACACACAACGCTCTCTCCCCGTCGATATTTCCGCTTCCCTTGATATTCATATTTTACGCGACACGTCTAAAATCGCGCGCGCAACATTTTTTCGACATGTACATGCGCGCGGAAGTAAATGGAGAATTTTATTTTATTTTTTTTTTTTTGGCTCAAAAACTGTCATTTCGAATTTAAAGTGCCCTCGGTGTAAAAATGTTTCCGACTTCGCTTTGCGATTGTTGAATTAATAAAAATGGCTCCGAACACACATTTTCCAGACCGACGCGCGGAATCCGTTTTCGATGAAGCGCGTGAGAGGG